AGTATTTAGGACACCATTCTAAGACTTCATGCCAAAAATCAGCCAAATCTATGAGATGCCGTGTCAGGCGAAAGTTCGAATCTTACAGAAAATCACTCTTACCACCGTTTTCGTTGATACGCGACTTTCGAAAACAAAACACCCGCGGAAAACGTTTCCAAAATTTCCGTCAATCATGCATGTTATCGACAGATCGGATCGAAATCCACCAATCACAACCACTAGTGTGACCTTCTGACCTTCTTTACGTCATGCTAGCGGGCTGTGATTGGTGGATTTCGATCCGATCTGTCGATAACATGCATGATTGACGGAAATTTTGAAAACGTTTCCGCGGGTGTTTTGTTTTCGAAAGTCGCGTATCAACGAAAACGGTGGTAAGCAATAGAAAACGTTTTCCGTCTTTGCATTGCCTGATATAAACACGAGAGGGGTTGGGAGAATTCGAGACAGTTATGCAAACCCGAGACGAAGTCGAGGGTTTGCAGAACCGTCGAGAATTCTCCCAACCCCTCGAGCGTTTATATCAGGATATGCAAACACAGGAAAAAAGTTTTCTATTGCTTTTATAAAATAACTTTCCTGAGAAAAAAAGCAAAACTTTCTTGTTCAGAGCTGGGATTAAAAGAGAAATTCTTACCAGGCGCGAGGTCTTGTACACGAAGCTTGCACGCGTAATCAGTTCTTGTTTTGTGAAAAAAAAGCATCCTCGTCCCCAGGGCTTTTCCCGCCCCACCCATTTTTTGAGGGAAAAGCCCTGGGGACGAGGTTGAAAAAAAAGCCTACGGGATTTTCGCGCTTAAAATGTCAGCTCAAGCGAAAAAAAATTGACGAGCAGCATGTTTCTAAAGATTTTTCAAGTCTCAACCGACGAGGAAATGGGTAAATAAAGTAAACTTGTCGAGTTTTTCAACTCAAAACCTTTTTCAAATTCGTGCTTGCGTGATTAGCGCCCGAAAAGTAAAACATCTTGACTTCACAACCATTTTTACATACTCTTATGCAAACACACCTCTCGGCTAATCAGAGCGCGCGTACTATCTTAGTTATTTTATAACAGAATATTGTGTACAAGCATGAAACGCTTTGTAAGTGTTTAGTTGAAGTGATTTTGTCTTAGACAACCGATTGTGGGGTCAAGAAAGGTGGTTTCTAGGTCTGTTTTAGTCGGGCATCTCTCTATGAGTCTCATAGTTTAAGAGACTAAAAGGTCATTATTTCTGTGCTTTTAAATGTTGTTCATTTCGTTACAAATCTGTCGCTTTTGCTAAGAGCAACTTTTCGTGTGTTGCCAGCGATTAATTCGTCCGTTTTAAGCCCTAACTAGCGACTTTCAACTGCTTTTTATTGACCTCAAGGGTCAAATTGTTAAAACGCACTTGAAATTTCTGGAGGTACCTTTTATCAAATCCAGACAGATATACATGTTGCATAAAAAACGGTCCTTGTAAAAAAGCGTCGTTTTGGGGCAAAAAAGCTGCTTTTTTACAAAAATATATTTCTGTAAAAAAAGTTGCTCATGTAAAAAGCCTGCTTTTTTACAAAAATAATGTTGTAAAAAACCTGCTTTTTTACAGAAATATATTTGTGTAAAAAAGCTGCTTTTTTACAAATTGAACGTTGTTTTTTTTATTTTTGTAAAAAAGCCGTTTTTTTACATTTATTTTTGTAAGACAGGTGCTTTTTTATGTTAAAAAAGCTGCTTTCTTATGTAAAAAAGCTGTTTTTTTACAAAATATATTTTTGAAAGAAAGCTACCGTTTTTTATATATATATATATGAAAAAACGCTGTTTTTTTACAAAATATATTGTTGTAGAAAGTCTGCCTTTTTGTGTAAAAATCGTGCTTTTGGACACATATACATTTTCTTGAAAAAGGAGCTTCATGCTCTTCCTTTCAGGCCATTTAACAAATCCATTTATCAAAGAAGGCTGTTTTCTATAACATTGGTTCGAATTTTATTGAACTGTAGTTTCCGTGCCCTTCTCAAACTATACGTTACTGGACATCTGGACATCCACACTAAAGGAAGCACTTTATTCTGGGGCTTTTAAATTCCCTTGTTAACTCGCTCAAAGGGTTAAAATTTATGTTCTTTTTATTGTTTTTATTATCACTTCTTGTTTCCTTTGGCATTCAATTTTGCCGTTGTTGGATGCGAAGAAGGAATAAGTAGTAATTATAATTTCATTTGTTATAATGCTTATCGACCGAAAAGTCACTCACGGCAGTATATAACTAGCTATAACTGCACTGAGTTAGGCAATAATAGAATAGCTGGGTGTCACAATCTCTTGCAGGAACCAAAGCCTTCTAGACCAATCGCCTGCATACGACACTTGGAATGGTCACGTGTTGGGAGATCACATGACCGATAAGCTAGATCAAACCAATAAGGAAGAATTAAAAAAAAAAAAGAAAAACGTTCAAAAACTTTGCAGCGCAAACTCTTGCAGTAGTGAGTCCGTAGTATTTATCGGAACTGCTGTTAAACGTAT